GCCAGGATCTTTCAGGGAAACTGTTTGAAGGGGGATCCCCTTGCTTTGAAACGGAACCGGCTCACAAAATGAAAAAGAGTCTGGTAGGCGAGGCTTGGAGTCGCTGAGGCTTGTAGCTTGCAGCTGGGGTCTACTTCAGATGGCTCGAGATTTCGCAGTGTGCACCTTGCGGCTGCGGCATTGAGACAAAGCTCTTTGAGCCGCAGAGCCCTTGGGCCAAAGAATGCTGGTGTGGGCCTTACAGCATTTTAGCAATTCCAGGCCTCAAATAGTTCACCAACCTGAAACTTGCGGTGGTTGGGGGGGCTATTCCCCACAGAAACCACAAAATTTGGGATTCAGTTGTGTGAGGTCGCAAAAATAAATCACCCAGACATATTCTATCGAACAAAACCAAACCCTCTGAGGCTTGAACGGCCCCGAAGTGCTGTGAGGTCCCAACAAAAACATCATGTTAGGTCTTGGAGCTCTTGGACCTTCAGGGATTGCTGATTTTGGACCTTACAGCATTTTAGCATGTCCATTCCTCAAACTGAAGGGCCCAAATATGAATATATATTTATATATATATATATATATATGTATACATATGTATATGTCAAGCCTCAGAGAGGACTGGTGGGTTTGGACCTTACAGTATTTTGAGCCCTGGAAGCGCTAAAATGCTGTACCGTCCAAAAAACAGATTGCTTGTTGCCTTTTTTGGGGGATTTGCCCCACATTGGAGCTGTTTGGGCTTTGAAGGATTGGCTCGTTTGGGACCTTACAGCATCTTGAAGCCTCGAGTCGCTAAAATGCTGTAAGGTCGCCCACAAAGATTAGAAGATGCTGCCTCAGTTCATTGACATGGGGATTTGTGATTTATGTCCACCAAACATTTTGGAGGATGTTCCACATCAGATTCAAAAGCCAATATACCCTGAGTGGGCCAAGGGTAGAGAATGGTGGCGCCGATCTCCGGGCAGTCCACCTTTGGCTTGCTTGCATCTAACTGCTCCAAGCGCAGCCTGCGGCAAGCAACAGTTGACGGCATAAGCTAGTTGCTTTATAGGGAACCCCTTGATGGTGGGTCAAAGGGAAAGCACAAGAGAACAACCATGCTTTAAGGGATGCTCAAGTTACAGCAAATGAACGACACCACGCAACAAATTCTGGGACACCAACCAAGGCACTTATTTTCTTCCATCAAAGGGAATGTAAGTTTCCACGATTGCTTTGGGATAGCAAAGAACCCACTCCCCCTCGAAATATCACCCCCCCCCCCCGGAGCCCCCGCAAGACCAAAGAAACCTGGGACAAAGATGTATTATTGTTACGGGTCCCCCAGTTCCAGGTTAGGGTGCCCAGTCTTGCCAGTCTTGCCTTTGCGAACTTTGGTGCGAGGATGCCACAAGCAGGAGAGAGGGTGAGAGGGAGAAAGAAGGCAAGGCAAACTTTTACTTGCTAGCAAGCTAATGGATGCTTGGTTTTAAGTAAGGAATGTAGAGGGGAACCGCAATCTGCTCTCATTTGCCACAGAGTGTGGTGCTTCGTGACTGAGGGCAGAGCTTCCCCAAAGTAGCTAATTTAGTATTGCCCGCACAGAACTAGTCAGCACATTCCAGCAATGTCGGCTTGGCAGCCTTGAGGCGCGGTCCAAACCGTCAAAGGTTCCTGGTTAAGCAGACCATGCTTAAATGGTTGGCATTGGCTTTGCCTTCCAAAACTACTCACATCCCGTTGAAATCAACTGACAGGCCTTGTACTCCTCCCAGAGCAAAGAAGAAAGCTCCGAGGCCTGTCAAACTTGGATGTAGGGCTATCAAAAAGTCAAGGTCAGTTGGTGGGTACAAATGGCTGTGGGTCAAAAATAGGTACCCTAAATGGAGCCCTAAATGGAACCAAGGACTAAAACCTGCGCTCCGATTCTTGGTGGGTTTACTTTGACCCATACCCAAATCAGAGCAGGCCAATGTCCTCAGCGGCAAGTTCCATGCTGAAGGGGCGGAACAGCACTTGCTTCCCATAGCTGCAAAACTGTCGTGACTGCTTTGACAAATTTCACCCAAATAAGACCCGGTTCAGGTGCAAGGGGCTGAACAAATCAACCGGTTCAGGCTAAGTTGCGCGAACATTGATAGTCTACATCAATGAAAGGTGGGCTACAATATTGCCTGACTCTTGGCACAACGTCCTCTTCCAGAACGGTAGTGAGTACTAAAATTTCCAATGGTGCCAGCATGGCCAATCCTTGTGCAGAAGGCTGGCTTGTAACACATTTGCTGACAGCTTCGCGCAGCCTCTCTAAGCTTCAACCAGCCTCCATCAGCTGAGTGGGCTCGGCTTCACTGGCAGGGCGACGCTAGGGGCGAAGAGGGTGAGCCAAGGGAATGGGTATGGATCTAGGGGTTGATGATTCCTTTTCAGTCCTTGTCAGCCATCGCTCTTTCAAAAAACGGATCCATTTCCCCAGGGTTTTTGGTGCTTTTCTGGAAAGAAGGATCCCTGAAAAGAATGGGGAAGCTACCCCTAGAATGGATGAACAGGAAGAACAGAATATGCATGAACGGAGAGGACCTGAAGCAGCTGAAGCGCCCACGGGGATGTCTCTTTTCTGGAGGGTAGCCCGTTGGGTTTAAACTGGGCAGCCCTCAGATCCCCCGCTAAAAGTGACTAACTTTTTACCGGGTCAAATTAAATGGGAACTACCACTAAACACTAAAAAGCTAAAAAGCTAAGGGGATGACTGGAAGCCACCAAGTAAATGCAACCATCTTGGAAGGCTGGGAAGGTCCCTCCAATACGTCGAGCTTGCACCTCCCACTTATGTAGCCGCTAGCCTAAGCAAGAAATCAGCACCCGCGGCGCGCGTGCTGCAAAGCAAAACAGTGAAGTCACACAAACCAAAATGCGCACACAAACACAAACATCGAACACACACACACACACACACACACACACACACACACACACACGCGCACCAGCCCGCCTGCTCACCCAGCCGCACGCGAAGGCACACGCGCACTGCGCACAAGCACACGCAGACCACAACCAGCAAAACCACACACACACACACAAAAACTACGTTGTGTGTGTGTGTGTGTGTCTGTGTGTGTGTCTGTGTGTGTCTGTGTGTGTCTGTGTGTGTGTGTGTGTCTGTGTGTGTGTGTGTGTCTTCGTGTGTGTGTGTGTGTCTGTGTGTCTGTGTGTTTGTGTGTCTGTGTGTCTGTGTGTCTGTGTGTCTCTGTGTGTACGCACACACAGACACACACAGACACACACAGACACACACACACAGACACACACAGACACACACACACACAGACACACACAGACACACACACACAGACACACACACACACAGACACACACAGACACACACAAACACACACACAAACACACACAAACACACAAACACACCCACCCACCCACCCACCCACCCACTCACACACCCACCCACCCACCCACCCACCCACCCACCCACCCACCCACCCCACCCACCCACCCACCCACCCACCCACCCACGCACGCACGCACGCACGCACGCACGCACGCACGCACGCACGCACGCGCACATGGACAAACACACACACACACACAGAGAGACGCGAGGACCCACCAACAACACACGCACATATATACAACATATGACATGCGCACCAACACTCACACACACACACAAACAGACACAGATAGACGCAGACACTCTGTCACACAACCGCACCTCCACACACACAACACAGACATCAAACCCACACACACACACCAAGACAAACATGCAGACTGGCACACTGATACATGCACGTACACACTGACTGTCACGCACACACACACAGACACCCCACAATTAGCAAACACACCCGTGCACCCGCACGCAGAAACACACATGCATAGCAAAACAATCATGTGTATATTAATGGACATCAATAGGCAACCAACCATATCAACCATATGTAAAGCATACTATCCTCCCACCAGCTAACATGGAAGTGCACAGACCCCTGCAGAAAGACTGCTTTCCTCTTGGAAAGGGCCTTTTTGCACGAACCCATGTTAGTTGGTGGAAGGGTATAATATTTTGTGGACAGCACGCTCACACACACAAGCCACCCACTGGAGGACTGGGGTGACACAAGCCAAAGTCATGGCCTTCTTGGCGCGACAAGGAAGAAGCCCAGGGGCTCCCCGAAAGTCCTTCACTTTAAAGTGGGAAACGGTGATGCTAACTGGGGGAAACATATGGCGGTTCAAAAACATCTGACCAAACTGGCACCCTGGGAAATGGAATAAAACATGCTGAAACCCCATATTTGGAACCCTGGAACCTATCTCACGTTCTCAGCAGCATCCGCGAAACAAACAGAAACCTCCGAAAGGCTCTCCGACCAGTTGCCAAGAACACCAATAGCAAACTATCTGGGATCATTCAAAAAAAAGGATCCCAACACAGGCTCCCTGTTGTGCTCTAGAGGTGAACAAAAACATATTGCCTGGTTGCGGACTGCAAATATCCATGAGCCACACAAGCGGATCAAGCAAATCCTCACTAAGTTCAGGGATGCGACTCAGCTTGGATCTAAACTTCAGTGGCCTGAGGATCAAGGAGGCGAGAACACCAGCCAAAATACTAACCACTTTGCTGTGGCTCCAAAATGAGGTATCACGGTACCCCCCTCAACCTCCTGATTGCAGCAAATTACAACAACATTTGCGGAATGCCCAATGCCCTTCTTTGCTTCCAAGTTCGGAAGGCTATATATCATTAGGCCTCACGATAAGCTTTAAGCCAGATAGGAGTCAGGCCATCTACGGCCAGTTGAGTTCTCGGTTTTCGGCGGGAAGCTTTGTGGGCCAAACCCTTGTGCCACACCTTGGCGCTTGTATCGCGTAGGCTCCCATTGCCAAGCCAGCATCAATCCACCAAAGGGAAACCCATGCTCAGTTGGCAGGTGATGGCCGGAAAACCACCAAGGCCCCAAACAACATTTTTATTCGGATGAAACTGGCAAGTCTGCACCCTGGCATCAACTCGAGCTTTGAAAAGATCGCTGAGGTTTGATACCGCCCTTCAAAGTGAAATGGCTGTGGGTCAAAAATGCATACCCAAAATGGCTTGCCCTGACAAATGGAACCAAAGACCAAAACCTGCGGTCCGATTCCTGGTAAGATTATTTTGAGCCATACCCAAATATAAGTTTGCCTCAACACAGGGGAACCCCTTATTTTACCCCCAGTGAACTTCTATTGGGCAAACAGCTGGGCACCTTTTCCGTTTCTGGAGTCTTCATGACTCTCAAAAAATGGATAAGGTCGTTACCCAAAGTCAAGGGCTCACCCCCTGCTTCAACTCCGGCTGATTTTGAAGGGGTTCCCCCCATTTGTTTTTCCTGCTTAGAGTTAGGCCGCTGTTCTAGAATATATATATATATATGTTATTGTTGCTTCACTAAGTCTACCCCAGTTTTCACGGTCCAAAGCTGGCAGCTGATTTTGAATTGCCCCCCCGCCCCCGCTCCGCAGGCCTCGTGCAGGCCTCGGCCGTCAGTGAGCCCCCCACGTCCGCCAGGCAGTTGCCTGGCGAAGCGACACCGGGTTCACGGAGTCCCTTCGGCTGGTCCTTCGGCTCAAGTGACCCCGAGCAGTTTCCACACCAGAGAACGGCTGGTGCATATCCTGCGAGAATTTTACAGGTTATCTTTTGGTGCGTTGATCTTTTCAACAGCAGCACAAGGGACCCTATACCGAAAGAGAGTAATTGTGGTGAATGATGGTGAATAATTGAATAATCTCTGAAACACCCCAGCAGAAAGGGAGGCTTCTACAGGAAGCAATATGGCTTTTGCTGGATGTTTGGCCAGGCTCTAGAAATTTGCTGGTGCATGGATCGATGAATTGCCCTGGGGGCAAAGGGGGGATATGGGGCATAAAAAGATCTCGGTGTTCAGTTGGAGAACTGAATGGCACGAGATGAAAAGGGACCTGAGTGAAACCCTCGAACGCATCGATGTTCAAGCACACCCTCCAAAAAATAACAGCAGTGTACATATACATCACACGCAGGTAAGGCAATAGACGCAGTTCAGACTTGTACGATAACTATGCCTGACATGGGCTCAAGCCATGCTAGACACATGCACGTGTCGAGCATGTCATGGTGAACATCACATGCTTTATGCCAAACAAACAGCCAAACAAAGCTGGTGTCAAACACTCTTTTCACAGTGACCATGCTCTGATAATTATGGATGTGATGCTTAGTTGTGCTCTGTTCTTGGCTTGTGCTTGTCTTGTCTTAGGCGTTGCTTTTCAGGCCTCCAAGGGATTGTTTAGCAAGTTGCTTCTGGATTCGTGTCTTTGCGCGCAACGCCTCTTGGAGAAAACGCACAACATCACTGCACAGAGGCTGTTGAAAAATTGAGAGCTCAAAACACAGCGGTTCAAACAAAGGCAACCAACCCAACCCAACCCAACCCAACCCAACCCAAGCCAACCCAACCCAACCCAACCAACCAACCCAACCAGCCAACCAAAACCGCCCAGCCAACCAGCCAGCCAGCCAGCCAACGAACCAACCAACCAACCCAACCAACCAACCAACCAACCAACCCAACCAACCAGCCAACCAAAACCACCCAACCAACCAGCCAGCCAGCCAGCCAGCCCCAGAGTCGCCATCAGCCGCATCTGTTCCAAAGTCTCCAGCCCCAAAGCGCCTGATGAGGTGATGGACCGGAAACGTCGTAGCGTCTCACCAGCGCCGTCCATGAGCTCGGCCACGAAGACGTCCTTGGTTCCACCTGGAGGGCCGAGTGTTGCCGCGACAGGTTCCCAATGTCTTGCAAATCGCTCAGTGACATGAGCTAAAACCACTCATCGTTCAAGGTTGGAAACTCGGGCTTCCGATTCATTTTCCGCAAGCCAACCGTATAGTATAGCTATCCCAGTAACATTGTAAGATCATAGACAAACTCCCACCAAAATTATCCGCGACACATCCAGGGGTTCTGTTGGCACCACGTCAAGCTTTCATCTTGACCATTCTCGGCACAACACGAAAGCCCCCGAACTGCAACAACACACCACGACCTGAACGGCGGGTTCCCAATCGACCCGACTCGCCTGTGCGCAGACCGCCAGTGGCCGTGACGGTGCGAACTGTCCGGGTGTCCACCGTAAGGTGCAACTTCAAGCCCGCAGCGAAGAAGAGCTCCTGGCGGGAAGCTGGTTTTCACCATTTCCTGAGCAAGCCCCAAGGTGGATGCAGATACCCAGCTGTGTTTCATTTCCCCGAAAGGGAAAGCTATGCGTATTTGCAGCTACCTTTGGGGTGTTTAAACTCGAGGACGATTGGCCTGAAAGCATGAGTTCCTACGATTTATGGCCAACGTGTGAAACCCGAGCGTGGCACAGTCGCCCAACGTTTGCAAGTTGCTCTGCGCGATGCTGTTCTGTGCGCATGGAAATCGTAAAAAAGAAGACACCTTGGTTTTTGACATCATCCACCGGCCGTGTTGAAGAGTTGAAAACCCTGAAGCAATTAAGTCGTTCTATCTGTGGAGAGGGTTGTACTTTTGTAGCATTGCTACTCCTTTGCCACGCACGCAGGCACGAACGCATTCTTCCTGTGTGCTTCTTCCCTCTCTTGTCATCTGTCTCAGAGAGCTAGCCTTCAATGAGTGGCCTCAACATGGAAGCTCCTTCTAAACTTCCTTTGATTGTGTATTCGGGGTGTAGGTTGTAATTATGATGCAAGTAGCTTTGAACTTCTTTTCGGCCGGTCAAGCACAGTGGCTTAAGAGAGCACCACAGTCACTTAAAAAACAAGCAGCCTGGATCTGGAACGCTCCCGAAAGTGGGTGTTTGGATCTGGAGAAGTAGTAGGACTCGATGGCACGCGTGTACCAAAGCCTTGGCACGGCCTTCTGAGTTCGCCTCGACACATGAGCACGTGGTGGTGATGTTGACTGTAGCGTGCATTTCTACTCTGCGATATTCTAGCGTGATGACAATAACTTGGTTGATGCTGCCAGCCTTTGCTCAAAGATTAAGACACGCAAACCAATTGCCAACGTGTTGTATCTGCAAAACTGCGAATGGCTCGGTATATCCTTGGTGTGAAATGCTACATGGATAACAGTGGGCTAATAATATTCATTAAGTTTTATCGAAGCCAATGCTTTTGCTGAGTCACAAGAGCTTTGCATCTCGGTTCGGCGAGGAATCGATGGAGCTTCGGCTGCTCCCTTGCACACCCCTCTGAAGACGCAGAAATCACAACGGTGCACCTGCGACACGGGCATTTCAATCAGCTCCTGTCTGGTGCCAGCCGGAAATTCAAGACAAGTCTCTTGCCAGTCCCACCGCTCTTGAGCAACCCTATACAAATATGATCCAGGATTACCCATTGTGAACCACCGCAGGTCTTAAATATGAGGAATATAAAAAAAAAGTCCGGCCCTTGTGGTGTGATTTAGAAAATATCAAGCACATATTGAGCATTCTAACGGAGCTTCAGCTGGCAGGCCTCCATTTGTTGCTTCGCTTAACCCACATTCGTCCAACATACGCGCCTGCGACATACCAGCGTTGGAATTTCTTTGCCGGCTTCAGCGGACAGGTAGAAACTCGTCACTTCTTCAGTTGTTTCTGGCACACACTCTAACAGACAGAAAGGGGCTCAAAGATAGCCGGTGCTCTGGAATACCCCCTGTGATAACCTTGGAGATCCGGCGTTGTGGATTGGGTGCCTGGAGTCCCTGAAAAGTTGTATACTTTGATTTGCTTGTGTAAGCCCCCTGAACACAGATAGATTCTCTTTAAAACCAAGAAGATATAATCAACCATGCTCGCAAGCAAAATCAGGTATATCTACCCGCATAAACTCAATAGAGGGATGTGATTTCTGGCAAAACCCAAGGCCCCTTTGGACTGCGGGACACCCCTCCCAGATCCATTCCCGCACCTGGCGAATCTGCGAGTCCAAGTCGGCGTACTTGGGGCTGACCACCTGCGAAGGTTTCAGAAGAAGAAGGTCCAATGCTTCCATCCAAAGGAAAAATCGATCATGGGCATGCCTTGGTTTTCAGGGTGGCTATGTGTCACAAATGAATGGCGTGATGTGAATATGTCTTGAAAGGCGTGCCGAGCTGTGCAGAGATCTGTGTCAATTCCATGCATTGCCTGAACCGAGGAATGAGTTGGGGCCGCTGGGCACAACAATGCCCGAGAGTGCAACTGGGAGAAACTCCAGCCTTGAACTTGGCCAAACTGCAATTCTGACACATTGCTTTCTTTGATGTTTTCTGTCAGGAAGGGCAAGGGCCCTTGCCTCATATGGAGACGGGTGGACGTTGAGCGCCTCATGATGCTTGGTGCAGTGCCACGCACTAAGACCCAACGGATCCAACCGGGATCCGTTGGGTCTGTGACAAATATCAGTAAAACCCAGCGACCAAGTGTTCCAAGCAAGCCCATAGACAGGTAACATGTCCTTTTTGCAACTCAAGTCTCTGAAATATACTTGGCTGAGCGCGGCGCTTCTACTGCCTGCTGTCAACATGTGAAGTTTGTGGGAAGCCTACCTCTTTGCAACACGTGGCTGACTGCCAATGCCGACAGGTCCTGCACCGATAATTCTGAATCGAAGTGTATGACTCATGCAGCCAGTGGCTGAATCGGAAGCGGGATCTGGAGGAAACATGCATTGGGAGTATCGAGGGGGATACTTGCCAAACTCAATTTCCCGATCTTTGCTCAAGACCGAGGGTCCAAATTGCAATCCCGCTCTTCGGGCCTCATGGCGCAAATGGCTTATGTGCCGAGGCTATTGCATGTAAGCTGGCCATGATGAGTACTCACACCCGCTGAAACATGCAAGGAGTTCTTCGGGAAGGTGTTTCCACCATGGCTCGAGGTCAACATGTCTTGCCAATGTCAGACACGCTCGAACATCGTGGAGAGCTGTCAGTTTTGTACAAAGGATGGGGTCCTATTTGGCTTCTCCTTCTACAAGCAACATCGCAAAGAAACAAATCACCATATTGGTCAGGTGATTCAATTCTCCACCCAAAATTGAACCAGACCCGTCAAGGAACACCCCTCTACATGGTCCTGGTATCGATCCTTCCAAAAGCGAAATCCAAGGACGGCCCCCTTTCTTGGCTCACGTTGGAAGGGAAGCAAAACTTTTATAAACTGTAGCAGTTAAGTGGGGATTTCCCCCCCCAAACGACGATAAACAAAAATGTCAAAATGTTTCCCAACAACAACCATGCTTTCTCTGTCCACCCCAAAAAGGACACACGCTCCCCAGATGTTCACTCTCCTCTTGATCAATTCACAGGTGGACGCCGTCCAAACTGCCACTCAAATTGGAGGCTCCAAAAAAGACACGCGAAATCTGGGTGCTTCTCAGTCCCCATCTGGGTGCTTCTCAGAACTCGGTGGTTGTTTTTGTTTTCTTCTATCTTAAACCATCCCAAAAAAAAACAGGAGTTACGCCCATTTTTCAGAAACACCTATCTGGGTGTGTCGCCCTTTAGGGTACCTGCCAATTTGTGGGTTTTCCTCTTTGGCCTCCCTTTGAACCCACGCAAAAACGGGAAAACAGTATACCATGTTCGTTCCAAAGAAATTGAGTGACTCAAAATGTCCATTTCCGCAGCCAAAAGCTCGCCGGCCGAATCCAGAGCGCCCTTTGCAAGGACAACCAATCGGAAAAAAAACACATCACCCTTTTTTTTGTTGGGGGGGGGGGTTCTTGTAACAGGCGAGCCACCCATTGGGTTCCTCGTTACAAAAAAAACACAAAAAACGGCTCCGCCCCATCTCAAGGATTGCCAGTTCCGGTGAGCTCAAGGATCGCGCCTGCACGCAGGCCTTGCAGCTGAAGCCCTCCAGCCCCAGCGAGCCACGGGAGTTTACCCAGCTCCCGGCCACGCATCTCAGAGCCGAGCGCGGCGTGCCGAGCGAGCTGACGCGGTGACCGGGGAGGCGGGGGGGGAGAGGTTGCCGCTTTGCCAAGAAAAAAAAGGACCAAGATGTGTGTTGCCAGTACGAAAATGGAGTGGTTTCCCTGGGATCGCTTGAGGGGCTAGGTATGGGTGTTGTCTCAAAATGAGGCAAACCCCTCTAACTGGTTGGATTCATTTTGGTTTCCTAAAGCCAACCAAAAGGGGGTTCCGCAAAAGAAAGACACACTCCTATAGACATACTTATGTTCTTTTTGGGTGTCTTTTTCTTAGGGGCCTCTTTTGGATGGTTCAGGGGAAGCCGAAAGCAACAACCACCACTGAGTTTCAGCACTTTAAATCCAAGCTCATATGCCCTTTGTATAGCGACCATACATGTTTTGGAAGGTCATTCCCCGGTTTGGGGCTGCTCCAACGGAACCTGGCAGTCTTGGTGGGTTCCCCAGATTAAAAATTAGAGAATAACCCCAAGAAAAACACCGGAAGTTGGATTGAGTCGGATCGGTGGGGGGTTGATGGTTTCATTAAGAACAATTTGCAATTAGCTTCCCTCTGATTGGTGGTTTGGCGGTTTAGGAGAGGTGTCCCATGTCCCCTCCAATTACAAGAGCCAGATTTCAAATCCCCAAACCAATCCAAACCACCACTTAAGAGAAACCGCCTGATGCAGAGAACACAAACCATCCAGCAATCACTTGGCTTCAGTTCAGGTTGGTTGCCTACTCACCTGCACAAGGGTTGGTTTCCCCATGTTTCCCACTGCCCTCCAAAGGGCAAATGCCCCCCCACCCCTCCACCCTTGAAATCCTCCAAAGGAAACCAACAGCGGAAAAAGACAAAAAACAAGCAACAACCAAACAGCAACAAAAAACAAAACAAACAACAAAACAAAAAAAACGCCGCGCTCGGCTGCGCGGCGAGAGCTTGTCTGAGCCGGTGGAGCTAAACCGCTCCGACCAGCAGGAGACCTGAGGGTTCTGCAGATGCTGCGAATTCGCCTTTTTCAGCATGGATTCGGTCCTGGCTGGTGCCTGCAAACGACCCCTTCGGCACTCCATAGTTACTAGGTCCCCCAGTAGCGCCCGTTTACCCTTTTTGTTGGGGAGGGTTGCCCTACTAAAATAGACGTCCTTAAAACAACTGTACCCTTGTTCCAACCTCTCTACTGGACCTAGGACAAACTCCTAGTTTTGACATTCATTCATGTCAGGGATTCGCACTGGGCTCACCATCCTGAGTCATGGATTCGCTGTGTGTGTCTGTGTGTGTCTGTGTGTGTCTGTGTGTGTCTGTGTGTGTCTGTGTGTGTCTGTGTGTGTCTGTGTGTGTCTGTGTGTGTCTGTGTGTCTGTGTGTGTCTGTGTGTGTCTGTGTGCGTCTGTGTGCGTCTGTGTGCGTCTGTGAAACGAGTGGATTCCATTTGACACCTGTGGCTCAATACTTGACACCTGTTGCTAAGCGAGTCAAAGAGGAACAACCAAGCACCACGGCTCATGACAGGGAAACACGTGTCGGAATCAGCAGCAACTACAGCGAGAGGGTAGCAACGATGTTGATAGCAGAAACAGAAGCAGCCACAACCCCAACGGCAACGCCAAAGGCATCAGGAAAACTACCACACCCACCACCACCACCACCACCACCACCACCACCACCACCAGCAGCAGCAGCAGCAGCAGCAGCAGCAGCAGCCGCGGCAGCAGCAGCCAGCACCACCAGCAGGAGCAGCAGCAGCAGCAGCAGCAGCAGCAGCAGCAGCAGCAGCAACACCAACACCAGCACCGGGCACCAGGCACCAGCACCAGCATCACCAACAGCAACAAGCAACAACAAACACCAACAAACAAGCAACACACAACAGCAAACAACAAACAATAATCAACACCGATAAACAAAATCAAACAACAGCAAACAATCTGGAACAATGAAGAACAAGCAACAAGCAACAAGCAACACGCAACAAACACCAAACACCAGCAGCAAGCAAATTACTGCAATAAACAAGGGTAATCTGCCAAACTCACGAACCATATCATTCAAACTGACATCGAGAGCTGTTGCCAGCGGCAGTGCAAGTCAGGTTGAAACAGATCTGCACATGTTTTGCAAAAAGCATGCCTTCAGTTTAACTGAATTGATTGAAGCCAAGTCAGGTCTTCACATGTCGCAATGAATCCTGTGTGTTCAGCACAGTGCGATATGATGCAAAGTGCACAGTTCCTTCCACCACATGTCACAATGTCGGCAATGCTGCCAGCATTTCAGCTCCAACAATGCGTAGGTAAGCCAACCATTGATGTGTACGGACACCCATCCTATCTTCAGCGTGCGCTACACTCAAACTGGCGCAGCCTGAAGCAAAACACCCTCAAATAAAATCCAATCAGCACTTGCTTCAGTGGGCGCCTGCGGTTTTTCACCCGAGATGCCTCCAGAGTCTGGCCATGGGAGAAGGAAGTTGGTATAGGGGTCTTCTTCAACATCGCTCCGCCTGGGAATCGATTCCGAAAGTCTCACGTGAGCCGCTCCAAGTTGGGTCAAAGCTGCTGCTCTGTGCCCATCTACGCAGGCTACGCCGCGCCCTGGTTGAAACAGCTAGTCGTGTCCATAGCTTCCTCTACCATTCTCTTTGTGTTCTGGTTTGCAATGGCCAGCAGTACTGCAACAGGGAACTGGCAAGTCGCCAGTTGGCAGCAAAGCATGCGTCTGGGCACTGTGTGACGGCAGCAGGTGGCAACGGACCCTCAAATGCACCCCCCCCGGCTCCCAAATGCTAACGGGACCGGACACCGTCACACCCACGTTTCTGTCCACGATCTTGACACTCTCTCCCCCTTGAATACGAATCTCAACTCAGTTGTTCAGTGACCCTGGGAAACAAAAGGGAACCCTTTTTGGGGACGACCATTTTTAGTGGGGCAGCCACCGAGAAAAAACAAAAAAGGAAAGGGTGCCACTGAACAACTGAGTCAAGCAAAGCCCCTTTCAGGTTATCGTTCACGACGAGCACCCCGTTTCAAAAGAATGGATCCGGAAAAAAAAATCCGTTGCCTCCGTTCGCACCGCGCAGCTCCATGTTCAACATGTTGATTTAATATGACAACCATACAACTTTTCACTGCGCGTCATGGGACAACCTCCATTGGACGGCTGTGTACTTGGGACCCTCAAGTGGTCAAAAGATGTGAAAAGGGGTTCATTTGGCTGTGGGTCAAAAACCAAGGGTACCATGTTGGGGTAGGTGTACCACCCATTTTAGTCTTTTTCAGTGGGGATTGGGATGTTCACTGCGGGTGTGGGATTTTGACCCATGGCCTTTTGAATATCGGGTTGTCAAAATGCAGGCCTTTGCTGAAAAATGCGGCGCTGCACGTTCAAAGCCCTAACAACGACCCGGTCGCGCCTTCAAACGTCCACTGATTGTTCTGCTTGTCCTGGCAAGTTCCCGAACGAACATTGCCATTCGCGACGTGGTAGTCCATGCAGAAGTCATCCTCAAGCAACGTGCCGGCTCGCTGTGCAAGCAACCAGCCTGGCTTGCATTTCTTGAGGGAGACGCGTTGATCTATACAATGTCCATCGGGCTCATTGCACATCGAATCCCTCCTTCCACACGTCCAGCTGGTGGCCACCCATCGGCTTCACTATGTAAAATGCTTTCAGGGTCTACCTTCGGGGAATGGGAACTCCCACAAAGCGCCAACTCAAGCCCAGCTCTGAGGCATCCATATCTTCCACAGATTCTCTCAGGTTCTTTCTAAATCTTCCCATATCTTTCTAAAAATAAAGGGTTCAGGTTCACGGGTAAGCAATGGACGCACAGGAACAGCATGGCTTCTGGTGGGAGCATGGCTTCTGCTGGGAAAAGTTTTACTTTGGGTCTCGCAACTTGGACTACACTTTGCCAAGGAAGCGATTCGGCTCCCCAACATGGTGGATGTTTGTCGATTCCCCTTATATGTTTTGTGAGTGATTTGCTTTGCAAAGAACGCACATCTCAAAATGGAGCTTGCGCAGTTGCGAAAGGTTGAAAGGGGTGTATCACTTCGTGACCTTATTTTGAGGCTTTTCTTCTTGGGATTGCTTTGAGAGACTCCCCATCTGCCAAACATTGCCAGATAAGCATCGTACTTGTCTCGCAAGTGTTTGCCGTCCCAGTAGAACTTCTGGTTCTGGCCACCTGAGTCGCGGGCCAGAAACATGGAAGCCGGGATTGAAGCCCATCACAGCAACTCGGGGTGTCGAATGCGCATGGCACCTGTCCAAGAATGCGCAGCCACAAACTTCTTCATCAGCCGGGATGCTGTGGCAGTTGTGCATGTAGTAGTTGCTGGTGCCATAGTGGTAATCAATGCATCGATTGTCTTGCTCGGTCTTGAGTCTGTCGCTGCTGTCAAAGTACCACAGCTTGTCTCAGAGCAAGAGCGATATACGCTGATTGAAGGGTTTATCCCTCCCTCAGCAACATTCTAAAGAAACTTACAGTCGGCGAGGCCTTGGCACAACAACCTACACTGATTCTGAAACATGCATCCTTAGTAATACCTCCACAAGCTGCTTGCGTTCTAAGCATATTACACAAAAGCAACACGTATGGCGCAAGAGAGCAGCCTTGAGCAAGCATGGCTATGTGCTAATTGTGTGTGCGTTCAGCATCTGAACATGTCTCAACAGGATTGGTGTTGCTTCAACTTGCTTTGAATATCGGGAAGCTCGGACTTGGTCGGGAAACTGAGCCCAGCCCAAGTCTATCGCAATGGTTGAAAGGATGAGCTGATGCATTGATAGCGCACAAGAAGTACGCGAGAATTCTGCCAGTTTGCCCAATGTGCGCAGCGCGCGCACACACACACAACAGGAACTTCAAGGAAGATTACCCTTCGCAGGCCTCTCACTGTGGCATTTGTGTACTCTAAAAACAGTTGCTGGCCGCGGAAACTGGCAAGAGGCAAGCGGCAAGTGCAGTCCGCAACACTAACACGTGCTGATATATCCGGCACCCAGCCCTGGGCTGCAGCTCATGGAAGTATATCGCCCAACCAGAGAAAGCAAAGGTTGCTTTCGCTTGCTTCAAAGGCGTCGACCGAGACAAGCAATGCCCGAAGCGCACACCGGGGGCTTATCCCTGACGAGGTTCTGTCGGCTTCCGAACATCCGCTGGCTTCCACGTTCTTGTCGCCGGAGGAGTCGTAGAAAAGGCACTTGTTTCCATCAGAAATGAGCTGAACACCTCGAGAAACTCATGCAAAGCCTCGTCCTTGCCCCTGCAAACAAAAGCTGTCACGGAGCTAAACTGCCTCATGCGCAGGGGGGTACCACTACACCAATTGGTACTTTGTACATATCTCAATGTCCGGCTCATAGTGAGTCCAACATTTTGTATGGACTCCCCGCTAAACGCACATCACAAGGCGAAGCTGGCCAACTGCAAGGTATAATCTCTGGACATCCAACAACTAGCTGAGACTCAGAAACTGACACATGTCGAGTTGTGTTGCTTGTGCCACAGTGGTATGTACTCCGTTCCCAAAGCTTGTATTCAATTTTCCCTCCGGGGAATTCATCTCAGTCGATTCTGCGACGCTTTGGGGCAATTCTGCAAAACGCTTCTGGAGCCAGCTCCGCCATTTTCTTCGGTGTGGGGCTGCGCTTGTTGGGCAACATCAAAAGTTTACGGCATGCCAAAGCCTCCTTCTTAGATCAAACATGAGCATCGATACAAAACTCTGCCGCCAGCCGCTGACAAATCCCTCGCGCTAGGATGCTGCAATTGTGCCGAAACTTCTTTTAAACTTCTTTTCAACACCTTCATTCCAAACAGTCTGTGTTGCTTGGCAACACACACACACAAACACCTCTTCGAGCAACGGCGCCTCAGCTCCACAGCACAAACTCACAACGCAGCTGCTCGTCCCACCGCAGCTGTTTGAAACCACTGATGCGTGACTCCTCTCAAACCACGGGTGGCACAAGCAGCTGTCCTTACTTTCGCATTCCAAGGGTGTCCTATTGCACCCTAGGATTAAACTGATCGTCGGATTGAGAGTCTAGTAATTCGGGGCTTAACATTTGCCGAACGTTTCTCAAATCGCTGGGCTTTTGCCCTCTGCTAAAAACCATGGCGCTGTCTGAAAAAAAACAACAACATCTGATTGCTTGGCTGCTGGGAGTTTCTGGGGCCTCTAAGTTCGTAGCCTAGTGCTTCGATCAGACCCAGCGGTCAGGGGTTGATGGTAGTTGATGTAAGTTGCAACTTTCTTGCAGCAAACTCGAGAACACTCTAGACGAACCCGAACAATTCAGTAGACACCCGTATTTCAAAAGAAATGTCTGCCAGGGGTTTATCCAACCCGTAGCCAAGCCATAGAAAACCTGTGGCGACGGGGGAGACCCAAATGGACAATGCCTATGGTCTCTTGGTGGACCCATGGTTTGATGTTGAAATGCTCTGAATCAAAAAACGCCGCGCCCCCGCAAAAAAACACATGCTGGTGGGGGTGTGACAACGCCATGGGTCCTAGCTTAGAACGTTGGGTGACTCAATGTAGCTTCATATCAAAGATACACACAGACAGGTTGATCCCTGAATCGGAGGACCTGAATAGGTGTTTCGTTAAACGCTTTGCAGCAATTCAAGAGGGTACCTCCCGAAAGCACATCGTAGGGTTGTTCATCCCTGATCCGTGGGACACTACAACAAGGGAAACCGCTACCATCTGGAAGGAAGGCTTGACTTGAGCAGGGGTAGCTGTCGCATGAGCCAAACGCCCGGGCGCTGTTGTGGATGTCAGTGCCGGCAGTCCACTCCAGGGTGTTACTGTCAGGGCAGCTGGTCACATATGCTTTCTTGTCATGGGGGTTGAAGTCGAGGCACCGATCGTCATACCTGCAAAGTGTCGACAGTCCTTTCAAATTTCAAGGATCCTCCAAAGTGGGGAACACACTCCTGCACCAGGCAGGTAGATCCTAGTGCTTGGAAAGATTATGTCCGGGTAGCCTAGGTCAATTCAAAGATGCTAGGCTAAGATCTGGAACATAGGACTATCGGCACAGCGGTTGAGGCTTTCGCGCGCTTTCCTTCAACCTATGAGTCTGGGGCTGCGAACTTAAAAAAGCCGAGGCCAGCCATGAAATCGCGGCAATGCAAATCTGGGTCCACAAGGCACCGAATCGCTCGAAAATGGAGGCCAAGGCCTGCTCCTCAAGAGCTTGCCGTCAAAATACCACTTCCTCATTTGCCCAGAAGGCCCAGAAATAAGAGGTTCGCCTTTTGCGACCTTTATTACAACTGGACCAAAAGCGGGAAACCAAAAGGCTTCGGCTTTTTGCAACTGAGCTTCTGGTTGTTGCCGCCGTGGCAGTTGTTCATGTAGACCCTCGCGACGGAGGGGTCATAATCCAAGCACTTGTCATCTCCGAGGGACTCGACACAAATCCCCTCGCCGACAAAGTACCACCGCTGATTACCTGTAGTTGAGGCCAGATCGAGGCTCTGACCGTGTTGGGGGTTCTTCTCACTTCCGAACGAGTGGATTGGCCAAAGCAGTATAAACTTGCTGTTTACCACTAAAATGGTCTTCCCAAAAAGTCTAAAGTTCATGAACTTAGGAAGTGAGTCTTAGAAGATTCTGAGAACTGTTCTTTAGCCACGAGGGGACGTCGGACGAGGCGCTGTTCTTGTGGCAGTTCGAGTTCATGTAAACCTAGGGCGAGCGGACCCCGCACCACACACCGGTGTTGGGGGGGGCCACCGCTTGTCCGTTACGGCACGGATGTTGTGCAAAACTGACTGCCATCCCAGACTCGTGAGCCCCGTGCGAATCCCTGACTCAGGATGGTGAGCCCAGTGCGAATCCCTGACATGAATGAATGTCAAAAATAGGAACTTGTCCTAGGTCCTCCAGTAGACAGGTTAGAATAAGGTTACCCCTTTTCTGTAGTCTATTGTAGTAGGCCAACCCTCCCCCAAAAAAGAAACGGTAAAAGGGCACTGCCGGGGGGCCTAGTCATTGTATACGGAAACAACCCCACACCTTCCCCACAAGAAAGGTGTGTTTTGGCATGTGCTTCAAAGGGACTCCCGGTTCGGACCCTTCTGACAAGCCAAAGTGTCTTGGCAAGTGAGCCTTGATCGGCGCATTGCCGGTGGCCGGCGAGCGCGCGGTTTGGAGTTGCAGTACTCACCGCAAAAAAGAGAGACGTGATTGGGCGTAAAAACAGGTCCTCAAAGCAAATTTGTTACATGTCTCCCTCCGGAATGAAGGTGTGTAGTCACATCTTCTCACAATCTAGAATCAGTTGCACCAATTCAATGCGCTGAATGACCGGTTGCAGCCGATTTCGTTGGTCTGTTTTCTGGTTGGTTCTTTGCTTTCGCAGGCGCTCTTGCGTTACCGTTGTCCCAGTCCAGGCAGGAGTCCTCATAGTCGGACTTCATCAGCTTGCCCTGGCAATGAAACAAATGACGGTCAAATCATGTATGCAATCAAAGCATGACTGTCAAACCATGCATATCTACATATATATATATATAATGCATATGTAGAATCATCCATGCCATTTGAGATTCAGCATGATACGAGAAAATAAAACTGCCCCATGGTCTTCGGATGTTTTCGAAAGCCATTGAACCATCCGCAAATCTGCTAGATTCGCGCTCCCCCATCCAAACCATCCAAACCAAAAGGTTTGCTGACGTCCCCACAAAAGCGAAACACATGTATAGATGCAATTCAAGAGTCAAACTCATACCCACTTGCAGTCCCTCACGAGCAAACATGCGAACATGTATGACTTGTAGTATGCAATGCTGGTCACTCTCAAATCAGCCATGATGCTACGATGATCCACAAAACAAGTACACGTCAGAAAATCCGTGCCAATGATGCCAATCATGTAAACTTACAAGCCACATGCAAAGTTGGGCAACATGCTTGTTGCATGGAGATTCAGGCCTGATCTGAAAAACAAATACAAAGTTGGAACTCACAGGATTCCCCACGGGATCAATCCTGCTTGTAAATATGAAAACTGAACTTGCGATCAATGTTTCTTCCTCAAACAGCTAACCGTATCACTATGATCCGCAGCTATTGCGACCTTATCATTGTGCCACTGGTTTGGGGATAGAACTATGTTGCTTGGGTGGTGGGGGCTTAGGGTCGCGGCTCGTGTTTAGTCGGTGCCACTATGTGCAACTCGCGTGAGGGCGTTGAGCCCTGGTTTTCTGCCCCAAACCTGCTTTCCTGGCCCGCAAGGAGGCAAAATCAAGGCCAACAACCAAGTTGGGTGGAAAAAACCAACAGGTCCCCATCACAGTGTCCCTGCCATTCCGGAATGGACAAACAAAAATGGCCACCAGTGCCCAACGGCTCTGGGATTCTCCGAAATGCCAGGCATCGGGGTGATCTTTGACCAACGGCTCGGCGAGCTGTGCAAGAATGCCGCTGAGGGACCCAGAAATCTGACGAAACATGAACCAGAAAGGGCGGTTCGGCTTTGTTTTGCAGGCGCGCATGCCGAGAAAACACAAGTCTGCCTGCCTTGTGGACAGGCGCATGGAAGTACCACTTGAACAAATCACTGCTCGAGTCACCTGAGCAACAAAGTGGCACCGACCCAACATCTCCAGCTCCGTAAATGCCGCGCTGGCGTTTGTGAGGGAACCCTTTTTGGGATGGGAAACGGACAAGGAAACCGCCCCTTCTTTCTTTGGGGGGGTGTCCCTTTTGAGACAAATGTGACTATCGCTCTCCAGGCCACATGGCTTGCCCTCCACGTTCTTGTTGCTTCCTCCCATCCACTTCCAGCAGATGCTGCTGTCGTGAACAGACTGGCCGCCGACAACTCACGCGATGCACATGCGGCACCCACGGTTTGCAATGTAGCTTTGTCTCGAAATGGTTGGTTCAGGATTGCCCCGCCCCCAAAAAAAATACCCGAAAATACGAGGGAAGGTGTGTAGCGATGCCCATCGAGGGTAGACCGCGCCACCCCACCTTAACCAGCTCGCCGCTCCAGACAAAATCCTGATTGTCTCCTCCATGGCAGCTGCCCATGTACAAGTTGTAGTCGCCTCGGCTCCCCAAGCAGGTTCGAAACCAGCGCTGAAGAATTCCGCCCACTCTGGAAACGAATAAACGGCGCAAAATACGACTGAGCTCAGAGCCGCTAGTACGCATGTCCAAGCACTGAGAAGTATCGTCTTTGTTCCTCAAAATGGGGCCCTCGAAGTACCACTGCTGGTTGTCGGTGTGCTTGCAGCCGCGCATAACAACCTTGGGTTCGGGTCAAATGCACTTCCTGACTTTCAAACGTTGGAGTTCAGATGACTGCATTTGTCTGCTCGAGGTGTCATTGTCTGCTCGAGGTCTCATGCTCAAGGTCCTACAATCTGGACCCTTGGTCATTTGGCCAAAAAGGGAACCGTTGCGTTCCTCCCTGGCTTGATGCTGAGTATAACAAACACCTCAAAAACCGTGTTGCTTCATGGCGAACAAGCTTGCATGGCGAACAAGCTTGCCGAAAATACAGGATGCGTCCATGATAATTCTTGATTCTGGTTTGGGATGATTGAACAACATCAAGTACTTCGCACATATATATATATATACATAGAATAAACGTCTTGGTAAGAATGGTTCAGCAAATGTCCCATTAAGGCTCACTTTCAGAACACGAATTGCACTGTATTAAAAGAAGCGGAGCGAAAGGCGGCAATCAACATGGCCGGGAGAAGATCGCAGCATAGGCGTGTTTCGGGATAAAGGTTCATGTTGACGACTCACCAAACGGGAGCTACATTAAATGATGGGTGAGTTTGAGGCTTGCAATCTTGAGATCTTCATGGACCCCGAAATTGTATCCGATTCTGATGCAGCGCGGAAGGTTTGGACCATAGGTGGCCTTTTGGAAAAAATAGATGGGTTTCCCTGGTAAATGGAATGAACCATCTAAACCAGGGCCCTCTATTTTTTAAGCAAACCAACCAAAAAGGACACCTATGGTTTGGACTATGAAACCTACCACTTTGGGAGCAGGGAGAATGACTGAACCCCGGCTATGGAAACCCGGCTTGGCAAGCCGGCCAGCAGTTTTTTTGTGCTTCCGGTTGGCTTCGTGCAGGACTACCCCATAAAAATCGTCTGGTCAACGCCGGGCCGAACAGACAACTTTCATAAATTCATGTTTACCTTTACATTCCTAGTTCCTCGTCCACGCACGTAAACCATAAGCGTTCAGAGGAAAGGCCATGTTTGGGCATGCCCTCGATTGAAAAACCGTCCATCTGAAATGCAGCGTGACGCGTCTGCGTGTTAAACGGTGAGACATGTTCAATGCGACTGTCTCCCACCAGGCTGGGCCTCCTAGCAGCTGATGGATTCATCGGAGGTACGCACCTCTACAAAATAGCTTTATTTTAGTCTTCCATTTGGTTAGGACTCCTGGAAGAAAATAAACAATAGTCCACTAGTGATAGATCCCCTTTAACACCAACAGGGGAAAATAAAGACATATTCTCAACCAAATTAAGGTTTTGTGAGTCACCTTGCTGTAGCAGTGTTCCCTTCGTAACTTAGTGTAGCTTGCTTGCTGCCTTCACGTTTTTTTTTTTTTCTCTGAGGGGACAACTTGTCTACAAAATGACTGCCAGCCAGGCGCTGGCGCAAATAAATCACAGGGTTAGGCCTATCCTGAAACCTCCAGCCCAACACAAGCTCCGCAAAATGGACTCCCGAAGAAATCGACGCCAAGTTGTTTGGTTTTTCCATCAAAGCACCGCGAACAAAGCCCCACCGATTCTGCTGTGGACCTTAAAAAAAGGGGATGCAGCTTCACCTTCCACATTCGAACACGAACACAACCAGCCCATTCAAACAAAATCGTACACGCAATCAGCCCATTTCACACAAACCTCGGGTGACAGATATCAGACCCAAGAAACATTGTTGTCCGATTGCTTCTCCAAGCACTTGCCGGAGTTCTCTGTGGAAAGCCGCTGCGGCGTCCTTGGTCGCAGGGAGCAGAAACGTGCCAATGGCCAGCGAGTGGAGTAGAAAAAACACCTTTTTCTACTACATGGGCGGGGACTTGATTTTTTTGTGGCTACCTTTGCTAGGTCCTCCAGATTTAGGAGGTTAGAATAAGGGAACCACCCTTTTGCTGTAGTCTATTTGAGTAGGGGAAGCCTCCCCCAACAAAGGGTACAAGAGCACTACTGGGGGGGACCTAATTTGTGTTGTGGCTTCAAAGGGAAACTAAAGGAAAACCACTTATTTTGGGGTTTCCTCAACAAACAAACACACTCATATCACTCTCACTTTCAGAACAGTCCGCATTGAACTTGTGACTCGTGGGCCCATATTATCTGGCGCAAGAAACGGGGCTTCAGTTGATACCAACTCCTTTCGCCCGATGGGCGAAGCAAACAAAGCCAACGCGTGGTGGCGGCGAATCACTAGGTTCGTCTGCATGGGGACAGCTCGACAAAATGTTTAGACCGGGGAAAGCTGAGATCCCTTCCCCCAGACAAAACAACACACAGCCACAAAGAACCAGTTTAAAAAGACTCAAAGATCAGCCACAAATTCGATTCGGGCGGTCGAGCGGCCACAAGTTGAACATCTGGTTGGCGCCGGAGTGGCACCTCAGCGTGCTCACATGACCGGGTCAGGTGACCTTTGCGGCTAGCTTCAGAGCCGAAAGTTGAACGAACGAAGGAAGTTATGCGAACACTAAGCAGTACACAGCGCGCCGATGAACATTGGCCCAAGCGCGAGTGCATGTAGATTTTCCCATCTCCATAACCGTAGTCGATGCACTTCGCACCGTCCCATTTCTTGTTCTTGATTCTGGCACCATCCCAGTAGAACTTCTGATTCTCCTCAGAGGAACACGTGCGCTCTTGTCTGTGTGACGCTGCAAAATCACCAGCAGCCAACAACACATTGCGGCTCAATCAACAGAACATCCATTGTGGGTGACTATTGAAATTCAACAGAACTCGATTCCCAGTGGCTTGATTGACGTTGGAAGGGGAGCAACAATCTAAATCTTAGCAGTTAAGTGGCTGGATTTCAACCACTAAACCACGATAAGCAAAAATGTAAAATGTTTCCCAACAACAACCATGAGTGGTGGATCGAACCGTGGGAATGCAAATTTGATGCATTAGCTAGGAGAAGGCGCCAAGAACTGCCTGGTCACTTCAATGGCTCTCCCAAACTGCTTGCACCAGGTCCTCCAGTAGAGAGGTTAGAATAAGGGTACCAACTTTTTTCTGGTTTGTCTATTTTAGTAGGGGCACCCTCCCCCGAAAAAGAAACGGTAAAAAGGGCACCTAGCTGGGGGACCTAGTGCACATTGTCGCTAGTGCCCCGGCTCAATCCCTGAAAACCTGGTATTAAAATGGTCGACCCAGAACCATGCTTCAAGAACTAAGAAGGCGGCCGCAACTGTTTGGCCATGGGTCGAAACCCAAATCGTACCCCCAGTGAACATCCCAATCCCCACTAAAACCCCGGTACTAAAATGGGTGGTGAACTCACCTACCAACCAAAATGGGATCCCAAACCGGCTTTGACCACCACAGCCATGGCTGGGACTGTTCCTTAGCAGGGATCCTTACATTATACACCTGAACATTGCCTTGTAAATGGTGGTTTCCCCTTATTTTGGTGTTGAAAAAGCAACATGATTCAAATGGTTGCGAACTGTATCTTTTCAGGAGCCCTGAAAAACCTGCGGTCCTTCTGGGGAACCAGTCGTCTGATGGGACACCCTGCTTAGTAACCGTCACCAATTTCCCCGGGTTTTGAGCACGTCAGACAGAGATCCAGTAGCCAGCTTCGCCAAGCCTCGCCGCTGTGGCAAGTGTTCATGTACAAGTTGCCGCTGCTGGCCTCGTCCAAGCACTTCGAGGTGTCGTCTGGAGTCCTGAGTCTGAACATAGTCTGACAGTCAACCCGTCTAGGGGAAACGGCTCATGAAAAAATGAACATATCTATGCTGGAATTGGTTGACACCAGCAACAAAAACATCTCTTTTTGGCCTGGGTAGTGGAAAACAAAGGGACACCAAAAAAACAAAAAGGGGAGCTAATTCTGGGGAACATATTAGTCAATCCCTGTTTAGATTCATAGGGGAAATGGCTCGGAAACCCCCTCCAGACGGCAGTTCTCCAAGCGCAATGTCTTTGTGTTGAACTTCCCCTAGACTTGGTGGACGTTGGAAGGGGAGCAAAAATATCAAATCTTAGCAGTGAAGTGGTTGGATTTCAACCACTAAACCACAGTAAGCAACAATGTAACATGTTTCCCAACAAGGCAGATGTCTTGTTGCGGCCCGTTCGCTTCAAACAAAGATGCTAGGTTCATACATTTAATTGGAGCACACAGCCTTTGCCACCACTGAACGTGAACTTGTACAGCTCGCAAGCCGCAGGATTTGGTTGCCCGAGTTTTCGCTCCCACAAGATTACGGCAGCGGGGTCAAGTTTGTGGTGTCTTCAAACAAGCTCACCCATGAAGTTGTTCAAGCTTACCAACAATTTATGCTAAACCCTCAGCCCAGATTCCGAACATGGTGCTGTGAAAACGGTACGACACGTTGCAACGACTCAAGCCACGGCCAAAACAACAAGCCTACAGAAACTCCAAAGGTAACTTTCGCAAGGCTTGAGTCGCGTAAGTTCGAGGCCACTCAACCTCTGGTCTCAGATAAGTTTGGGTGGGGATCAGCCTGTGCTTGGTGTCCCCAGAACCCCATTCCCGTGACAGTCCCTCGCAAGATCTTCGGCCAGCAAAGTTGTCCCATGCCCAGCCCCACGTGCGCAGGCTGAAAGGCCAGTCAAGAGGGACAGGGCCTTTTTGTTCTTGTCAACTTTCGCTCGAGGTTTGCACCCCACTTTGCAAATGGCAAAGGACCCGTCAGGGGCAGCCCGGCCACAAAGGCTTCAGCTGAGATTCCAACATCCATTGTCAAGCTCCTTTGACTATCCCTACCAACCCACGCAAGCTGCGAACATTGAAGTCGTGCTCATGAAAGCAGGTGTCCAAGAACTGCTACCGAACCAAGGCTAGCGAATCAAAAGTCATAGACCCAGCGGCGTCCGCCCCCCCAAAAAATAATAATATATCTCATAAGTGGATGCTTGCGAGAAGAAGCCACACATTGCCTCTGCGGAATGTGCAATTTTCAGTTCAAAGCATTGTGCCGGTAACATGTCTAGCACCTGATCTGATTTTTACAGCTGCAGCATTGCCGCCTGCAAAGCTGCCGTGAGATGCATTGACTCTCAGATGTTTCCCAGGAAGCCTATCACAAGCCCTTCTCTATCTATACATATACAAACATGCCAACATCTGCTGAATTGGAAGTGTTGAGCTCTATTTCGCCCGTGCCGAAGGCTTCCCGCTTCATCCGTGATGCCCAACACACATTCCTAGTCTTGACAGATTCCCGTTACAACCAGCAGGAGAGTATAAAACACACTTCAAGCGAATGGAAGGCCTTTGTTTTATCCCAGCCAGCCCTTGCTCCAAACGCGTCCTACCACCGCAAGTCACGAAATGATAGCAAGCTGATTTGGATCTGATGGACTGAGGAACCAAATGACCAATGTTCAGCTCCTCTCCAATTGGGCGGTGCTTATTTTGTTGTCTGGGGCCTTATCGTTTTTTACTTGCTTACGCCATGCCTACGCCTCCTACGTCACAACCGACCAATCCGGCAAAAACACCTACGCGAGGCCAAGTTGACTGGGCGGCTGTCTACCCGCCTACGCGACTCGACAGGGCTGTGCAAAGTTGCAACTTGTCATAATATGAGACAAGCGTAGTACACGCAGAGCACTTTGGCAGCTCCGATGGAAAATTACAACTTTTCAGTAAAAGTGATACTGGCAGCTCCAGCTCGGACATCGCAGCTTTCAAGTACACGTGCGCGCTACTCTACTAGGTCCTCCAGTAGGAAGGTTAGAACAAGGGTACCCTTCTTCCAGGACTGTTATTTTAGTAGCTGGGGGACCTAGTCTTTGTACACTTTGGCAGGTCCAGCTGCAGAAGCGGGAGCCGAGCCCAGGGTTTCGCGGTTGGATAGACCTCATGCCCAACGATCTGCCTTACTTGTTTGAACATTTTGGGAAACGGCGTATGTATTGGACACGGAGCGCTTCACAAGCCGTATCCAACTAAGGTTCAACAATAAATGGTTGTGGCCGGAGGGGCATGGGCTCCTTCAGATTAGCCCTTGTCATCTAAAAAGCACCTGGCTGTGCTGTAAAAGTAATGCTGTTCCAAAGTGGCAACACATTTTGCATTGATTATGCCTCTGAGGCAAGACACCCAAACTCCCTCATTCAGTGGCGTGTTCCAATACCTGCGTCAGTGTGGGATGTCGACATGCCAATACCCGCGCGACATGGAAATACCCGCCGGTTTGATTCCATGGCTGTGTTGGTGTTCTGGCTCTTTGGGTGAATTCCTCGCTTTTCAAATTGTGCAGTATGGGGTCCTGTGGCCGGTTGAATACCAGGGGTATTCATCCGTGGAGATCTTGAGGCGGACTGCATGAGGCCAAGCTGCTTAATGGCCTCGCCATCGAAGTACCACTTCTGGTTGTCGCCGTCGTGGCAGGGGTCTCACGAAGCGTGTGCCCCGTGCGTGAGTCAAAACCAGCGAGGCGCGCGAGTGTGCCGTTCTGTCAGGCGGAAACGACAGCGGTGGAATCGACTGCTGCATTTTGGTGACGTGCTTGACCTCTGAACATACATGAGCAGTCATCTGTACGAAGAGTGACGGAAACCACAGGTCACGCCCACCCGATTGCACGGTTACCTTTACTTGCTTTGTCTAGTTACCTTGCCAGTTTGGCGGAATTCTCCAGCATCGATCTCAACGCGATCCTGTTCTCTGCATTTGATTCAAGGAAACTGCAAACGCATAATATGACATGATCTGCTAGCTCAAGCTTTTCAACTTTTCAACTGACACTGTGTCAAAGCACTTCTGCGTGTCAAAGCACCATTGGCCGGCGTCTTTCTTGCAATACTGGGCCCGGCATGCAAGTTTTACTTCATATGGTTTCTGTCTATATACTCATACAAAGTGTGACCCTCTATTACAGTACGTTTCTTATGTTGCCTTATGGAAGCACACAATCATGACAACAAAGACTATAGCAGTATCACCACCAACAACCAACAACCAACAACCAACAATAATCATAGATCGATCAAGCGATCGCCGGGTTGCCAAAACAAACTGCGCCCGTAAGCCCGCGGCCACGCATGTACACATCACCGGTATTCGGATTGTAGTTCCAGCCTCAAAGCCCATACAACTCACAGCCAACAAGTGGCTCACCTTGTGCAACACTTGGGCCTTTGGTGGAACGCACAGGTTATGCAAACAAACAAGCATGAGGCCTGAACAAAGGAGCCACGAAATGCGAGTGATGCAAATGCAAACATAAGTTATTAAACCTGTACTGACACCGAGAAGAGGCAGCTAAGCCATCTTCGAAGACCTGGCCTCTAACATGTCGCTGGGCTTGAGGGGGGGGGGGGCGGGGGAAGGATTTCTTTGCAAAATGCGCCATGCTTCTGCGAGCTTTCGCCCCGCTTGGCTTGCTTCTGCACTTCTGCACTCCGGGCGAAAGCACGGCATCAAGGAAGCACATCCACAATTGGTTTCAGGAGATCCCCCGGTCCCGATGACACCATTAAATCCAAGGGATGTGTGCACGTATATAGTGCTTTGTGTGTGTGCGCATGGGTTTTGCGTAGGATTGTTTGTTGATGTCATGTGTGTTGCCTCTGTTTCCGTGCTTGCGTGTGTCCTGGCCCAAAGCAACCCTTGTTTGGCAGCTGATTCTCAAAGCCAGCCCCGACCAAAACAAAAAAAGACGAGGCACCTGTTGCTGCTTGTTCGGCCAGTTTGCTTTAAACAACCCCATGCTGCCCTGGTCCCCTGATTGCCGTGAAGCAATGGGTGGCACTGTGCATCGACGTCATCTTTGCTGCCGGCAGATCTTTGAACACGCTGGGCCGGTTCCACCTCCTAGGAGCAAAGAGAACCCAGTCCCGCAATCATTCAGGTTGAGCTAAGAACCAAACCAAGTCACAGGCTGCGACGACAAGGTGTGCGTATGGCTCAAAATTAAAGAGCTAGATTTACGCAGGTTTTGGTCTTTGGTTCCATTTGCCAAGGTGCCATTTTGGTACATGTTTTTGAGCCGCAGCCGTGTGGGTATAAGGGAAGCTGAGGTGGTATAGGGAAAAGGACGCTTCCCTGGAGCGCTTGAAGCTGCGTGGCGCTTGCTTGCGAGCAGTCGAACATTTTCGATCGGAGGGCCATACCGTCCGAGGTCTTACGTTCTTTGGGGGCGCCGGTCTGACTTGAAGCGATGGGGCTTTCCCGTTCAGCTTGCCCCAAGTTTCGTAAGCTTCGACCTCAGGGTTCCTCGGCCCGGAGATGACGATGCCGACGAGGTGATGGGGATGCTAGAGATGGTGCCGGCTCTTCCCCCAGTTGCTTAAGTCCCCTGGAAAAGAACAGATTTCCAGGAGCGACATATTCCCTTTAAAACCAACAGGGGAAAATCAAACACGTATTCTAAAGCAAACGGAAGTCTTTCTATCCATTGCCAGCTTCTGCGGCGCGCGCCCCTTGGCAAAAAGGAGCAAGTGGAGCTGGACACAGCCCCCCCACAGTCCAAGAACTTGACTGTTAAGGCGACACGTGAACAATCAAGGAGAAAAACAAATGCAAAATGTTCGCAGGACACGGAGTAGAACTTGGTGCCAAAACTGTGAGTGAATCAGCGACCATTGTGTTCCTGGAGCAACCGAGGCACCCTGACCAAGCAATGTAGCATTGCTGGGAGATATAAGGTACTGCGGACCCAAACAGACTTATCAAGCTGGGGTGGTTTCCCCAGAAGTGAGTGATTCCCTCCACAATGTGACCCTGTCAGCCCAAGAGCAAATCAACCCTGTTGAGTTCCCTAGACGTTTCTCACGAACTTCCGGCCCAGATTCTGAGTGTCGCTGTTCGGACAGCTGCCCACCCGCACCACATACGAGTGAGTGAGGAAGTCCAGGCAGCGGCCGTCTGTCCTGTGCGAAGATGAGAAGCAAAGCCGCAAAGCAAAGTTGGCAAACAAAGCTGGAGAGCAAAGCTGGGAAACAAAACTGTGAAACAAGAATGGGAAGCAAAGATAAGAGTACGTCTCAAAGGCAAGGCCAGTCTTCTAAGAGCATGCACATCACGCATATCCTGACAACACAGTGAGGATAGCCATGCAACGGGTAACCTTCGGGCTTGTGTTTCCGCAGATTGCCTCTCCTTTCCAAATGCAGAGGGCCTTGTGGCCAGATCTCCAAGACATCACGAAAAACTAAGTCAGGCTTCTCGGATGGCCGATGCGATCTGCGCCTGGACTTCAATAATTTCCCCTGCCAGTACCACTTGAAGTTGTTCCCGCTCTGGCATGTAGACCTCAAGACGCGAAGCACATCTCTAGAAAACGCCGCGCCTTCAGCCAAGCGTCGCCCTCACTTCCCCCGTTGACGAGACGTGCTCCACGCACATCGAGGAGTCTTTCTCTGACTTGAGCAATTCCTGGGCTCCATCCGAGCAGGACACTTCCACGAAAGCCTGACAAAACCTTCTGCAAAGTGCGTCCCTGCCATACTGCACCCATTGCTAGATATTGGTTGCAATAGGTCACATAGACGTCCGCAAAAAACAGGCATGGAGGATGTTGAAGTCTTGCGACTTGCGCACGGAGTGTGCCAGTTCCCGGAATGAGCTCCTTCCAGCAATCAAACCACATAGGTTGAACCCCGATCCAATAGAAGCAAGCGACAAACGGTATTCTTCTAAGGGTTCATTCCTTTTCCATTCTTTTCAACCATCGTTATTTTCAAAAACCGATCGCTGTTTCCCCAGGTTTTTGGGTGTCTGTTTGAAAGAAGGATGCCTGGAAAGAATGGAATCGGAAGGTACCCCTAGAATTCTTCGTGCTCATGGCGCAACATAGCGTGAAGTGAAGTCCCCCTTTCGGACTTCAGCAAGCTCGCGCTTTCCGCCGGGACATCAAACATATTCGCCGGCCAGGACCCGTTTGGCATGCTTGCCGCAGAGCCCAACATTAATGGCCCGAGGAACGATTTCAGCTATACGTAAAACTAGCTCGCTTCTAAATTGGGCCCAACATAGCTGGCCATGGGCAACTGACTCAACAACTGAGTCTGCTTGTGAAGAGGCCACCAACGATTTCTTAAGTAGTGACTGAGCCTGGCGAAAGGCATGGCATGAGGGCTCGCTCGTTTTGCACAACTACTCGCTGGTGCTCATCATTGACCGAGGGTTGTGGGAATGAACCGGAAGCGGCTTCCGTTAAAGGAAACCATAGACGAGGTTGTCTGTCTGATCAGTCCCTCACTTTCTTTCGAGGTTTCTCTCATCTCGGTTGCGAAATCTGCTCCGCAGAAGAAACAGTTTTCGACTTTTAGTGGAGAAACAATACGGAAAACCCAGTTAGTTACTGTTTGTTTTTCTCTACGGAATAAAAACCGGGTTTTTATGGCTGGCAAGCCGAAACGAAACTGAGAGATTTGGCCACCACGAAGAAAGGAGAGAGAGGGAGGGGAGGCAGAAGGCAAAGAGAGAGAGAGAGAGAGCAACCAGAAAAGAACACATAATACAACAACGAACACGCATGACAAACGCAACCTGCCCCTGATCAGCAAGCCTGCTGACTGATTTTTCCGAGCAGCGCCCACAAAGTAGAAGCGATGGGCAAAGGCCTTGCTGCAGCTGGTGGCTCTGAAGGTGTTATCCTAGGCCAGGCAAGCAATTCGGGTGTCAAATTTTGAGGGAACCGGTTCTTTGCTTTTAAGGGAAATCAATCGGACCACCGGGGTCTGGTCTTTTTTCGAGGGAATTGGTTCTTTGCTTTTAAGGAAAATCACACGGACCACCGGGGTCAGTTTTGTTTTTTCTTCGAGGGAATCGGTTCTTTGCTTGTAAGGGAAATCAAACGGGCCACCGGGGTCCGTTCTTTTCTTTTCGAGGGAATCGGTTCTTTGCCTTTAAGGAAAATCAAACGGGACAACGGGGTCTTGTTGTTTTTGTTTTTGTTTTTGGAGTGAACCGGTTCTTTGCTTTTAAGGAAAATCAAACGGACCACAGTTCTTTTTCTTGAGGGAACCGGTTCTTTGCTTTTAGGGGAAATCAACCGGACCACCGGGGTCCGTTTTTTCTTTTCGAGGGAACCGGTTCTTTGCTTTTAAGGATTTTAAGGGAAATCAATCGGACCACCGGGGTCTGTTTTCTATTTTTCTTCCCCCGAGGGAACCATGTTCTTTGTTTTTAAGGTAAATCAAACAACAACCACCGAAGCCGTTTTGGCGCTGCCCTATTTCAAGACACACGCATTCTGGGCATCATGTGGGTGAAAAAGTGACCACATCTCAGTTGCGCCAAGGCAAGCAATGCGATTGAAGTGACGTCAGACATCTCAGTTGGCATGCGCAACCTTGGCATGGCTTGCTGTTTGTCTAAGCTTCGGATTGGTGCTTGAGGCAGAGGCCGTTGTGGTCGCTAATCAGCTTCTGGCCATCATGCATTTCCTGCGCCGCAGTTTGTACGACATGTGCAGCAGTTTCTGGAACATTCCCCAACTGGATAATGCTAGTGAAGGCAAAACAGACAAAACCTATGGTCAGGATGCCAAAGTCATTGCCTCGATATGAAGCCTTACGATAGTTGTCTACAATCCCCTTCTCACTGATTGTCTGACAACCATAGCCCAAGTCAGCAGCACACACTTCGTTTTGATGCGCCCCGCATCCACCCCCAGTCAGCTGCTGGCTTGGGCCAGGTAGTTGAGTTGGTTGCATAATATGCAACCATGTTTGGGAACACCTAGCTTGTGCTATCAACACACCTGGTGACATTGGCATAGAGATCGTGCTGGCTGCATATCATGCAAACAACTAACTAACCTACCTGGCGCAAGCCAGCAGCAAGCTGTGAAGGGTACGTTGACGTCCCACCCTCCTCCGTTGTTTGAGGCAGCCCATATGCTGGCTGGGGGTGGATGTGGGGCTCTGCTGCTAGGCAGCATCCCCCAGGCGACTTTGTCCAAAAAGAAGTGTGCGCTGACTTGGGCTAAGGGAAGGTTGTGGTCCATGGTGTAGCCAGCAAGCGCAATATTTCGGAATCCCAACGCAAAGAGGCGCTCAACGTCAGCTAGAATTGCTACACCCACAATGAGTCTCTTGGCAAACCAGTGGGTTTCATAAGCCTATGCTTTTCTACAACAGCCCAATGGAGCAACTCATCCAAACCGAAGGCTGTCGCAGGGTTTAGTTTCTCCGGCGCATACCGGCACAGCCGGAGCTATCCCGAGCGGCGGGGTCACATGAGCTATGCCGCAAGCACACGGCGACCGTAGCCAAAAGGTGGGAGAATGGTTGGATCTCAGTTCGACCTCCAAAAAGGTGAACTAGTAAAGTGCAAATCATAATTCAATTCAGGGTTTCACTTTTTTACTACCCCAAGATAGACTTACAACCCAATTCAAGGCTGGTTGTTTTCCCCCGAAAGGAAACCGGGTAGCAAACAAGCGGAACCCTGGTCCACTTCACCTTGCTGGATCCCAAACGTCAAACTTCGACCCATTCATTTCCAAGGCTGGGAAGATGGTGCCGGAGCAAGTGCCATGTCTTAGCAGGGGCTCTGAGAAGAGACGGCTCAAGGTCTCCGCTTTTTAAGGCTGAACGTCCCCAAACGCCCGCATGCGGGAAATGCTGATGTCGCAGCGGCTTCGCCGCCTTGATACGCGGCGATTGGAAGGCATCCAAATCTATTTCCCCACATCTTTGTGTGGGGTTCTTACTTTTTCCGCTCGTCGTCCGCGCGCCGCGTCTCCTCCTCCCGCTCGTCTCCGTCTCACTCACTCACTCACTCACTCACTCACTCACTCACTCACTCACTCACTCACTCACTCACTCACTCACTCACTCACTCACTCACACTCACTCACTCACTCACTCAGTCACTCACACTCACTCACACTCACTCACACTCACTCACTCACACTCAGTCACTCACACTCACTCACACTCACTCACTCACACTCACACTCACTCACTCACTCACTCACGCTCACTCACTCACTCACTCACACTCACTCTCATTCACTCACTCTCATTCACTCACTCACTCACTCACTCGCTCACTCACTCACTCACACTCGCTGACTCACGGCAGCTGTCTAGAGGGACAGGATGTTGTCGCGCGCGCGGCGGGGGGCGTGCGAAATCGTGGCAGGCGCAGCACTTTGGCGATGCCGTTGCGAAATCGTGGCAGGCGCAGCACTTTGGCGATGCCGTTGCCGAAGTCGTGGCAGGCGCAGCATTCTGTGCATCTGGGTGTGTGTTTGTGTGGCAGGGGTCGCATTCGGCAGCTGTCTAGAGGGACAGGATGTTGTCGCGCGCGCGGCGGGGGGTGTGCGAAATCGTGGCAGGCGCAGCACTTTGGCGATGCCGTTGCGAAATCGTGGCAGGCGCAGCACTTTGGCGATGCCGTTGCCGAAGTCGTGGCAGGCGCAGCATTCTGTGCATCTGGGTGTGTGTTTGTGTGGCAGGGGTCGCATTCGGCAGCTGTCTAGAGGGACAGGATGTTGTCGCGCGCGCGGCGGGGGGTGTGCGAAATCGTGGCAGGCGCAGCACTTTGGCGATGCCGTTGCGAAATTGTGGCAGGCGCAGCACTTTGGCGATGCCGTTGCCGAAGTCGTGGCAGGCGCAGCATTCTGTGCATCTGGGTGTGTGTTTGTGTGGCAGGGGTCGCATTCGGCAGCTGTCTAGAGGGACAGGATGTTGTCGCGCGCGCGGCGGGGGGTGTGCGAAATCGTGGCAGGCGCAGCACTTTGGCGATGCCGTTGCGAAATCGTGGCAGGCGCAGCACTTTGGCGATGCCGTTGCCGAAGTCGTGGCAGGCGCAGCATTCTGTGCATCTGGGTGTGTGTTTGTGTGGCAGGGGTCGCATTCGGCAGCTGTCTAGAGGGACAGGATGTTGTCGCGCGCGCGGCGGGGGGTGTGCGAAATCGTGGCAGGCGCAGCACTTTGGCGATGCCGTTGCGAAATCGTGGCAGGCGCAGCACTTTGGGATGCCGTTGCCGAAGTCGTGGCAGGCGCAGCATTCTGTGCATCTGGGTGTGTGTTTGTGTGGCAGGGGTCGCATTCGGCAGCTGTCTAGAGGGACAGGATGTTGTCGCGCGCGCGGCGGGGGGTGTGCGAAATCGTGGCAGGCGCAGCACTTTGGCGATGCCGTTGCGAAATCGTGGCAGGCGCAGCACTTTGGCGATGCCGTTGCCGAAGTCGTGGCAGGCGCAGCATTCTGTGCATCTGGGTGTGTGTTTGTGTGGCAGGGGTCGCATTCGGCAGCTGTCTAGAGGGACAGGATGTTGTCGCGCGCGCGGCGGGGGGCGTGCGAAATCGTGGCAGGCGCAGCACTTTGGCGATGCCGTTGCGAAATCGTGGCAGGCGCAGCACTTTGGCGATGCCGTTGCCGAAGTCGTGGCAGGCGCAGCATTCTGTGCATCTGGGTGTGTGTTTGTGTGGCAGGGGTCGCATTCGGCAGCTGTCTAGAGGGACAGGATGTTGTCGCGCGCGCGGCGGGGGGTGTGCGAAATCGTGGCAGGCGCAGCACTTTGGCGATGCCGTTGCGAAATCGTGGCAGGCGCAGCACTTTGGCGATGCCGTTGCCGAAGTCGTGGCAGGCGCTGCATTCTGTGCATCTGGGTGCTCTGTAATCGCATCCATACAAGGGGCGCACGGTACATGTGTGTGGACATTTGAACTCACATCCTTGGGAAAAGCATAGCATGTGGGGTTATCCGGTCCTTTAATTTTGACCAACCACAAATATCAATGTCCCAGTTGCTCAGTCGAAAAAAGGCTGACATGGTTCACCAGGTGGAGGTGTTTTCTTTTTATTACTAACCCTGGTTTTTTCCTAACCCTGGCTGTGATTGGTGGGTTGGTGGGTTGGTTGGTTGGTTGGTTGGTTGGTTGGTTGGTTGGTTGGTTGGTTGGTTGGTTGGTTGGCTGGTTGGCCGCATCCCCGACATCACCAACATCACTTGGACCTGGGGTTGCCTATTGGCTCTGATGGGGTGGCAGTTGGGAGTTGCTGGGGGCTGGTTTAAGTTAGGGGGGTTTTGGCTGGCTTAGATCTTCATGAGGGTGGGTCTTGGGGTGGTTTGGGGCTGATTTAGGCGAAGCGAAGGGCTGACATTCCAGGCTGCTGTTGGGCGTAATAGAGCTCCCAAACCAACCCAAAACTAGACCAAAACTCTATTAACCACACCCTAAAGCCACTCTAAATCCGCTGCTAAACCAGCAGCACACCTAACACAAATCAGCTCCAAGCCACCCCAAACCCACTCAAAGTCAACCCTAAACCCGCCCAACAGCAGCCTGGATGTCAGCCCGTCGCTTCGCCTAAATCAACCCCAAACCACCCCAAGACCCAGCCAGCCAGCCAACCAACCAACCAACCAAACTTCGGCTTCTTGGCATTTTGGCCACATTTGGAGCCGTTCCTGAGGTTCCTCGCTTTCAATTTTGGTGGACATGGTCAACGAGGAGATGGTGTTTTTTTTCCTAGCCCTGGTCCCCCCTTAGCCCCTGCCAATAGCAACAAACAATGGTTTCCCGTGGTTTGAAGTGGTGTAGATGTCCTTTTGGTGAAATGGATGGGTTTCCCTGCATGAGGCATAAGACCAACCAAACTAACCCGAGAAGGACACCTTTGTTTATCACACGTGCATGAGCTATGTAAATGTGGAATCTTGAAAATCCCACGATCTCCAGACTTCCACATGGGAGAAACCAACTCTTGGACACTCCTGCTTCCAGGCCCAGTGCATGGTGTCGCTGCCCGGGCAGTTCCTCGGGACACCCCAGACTAGCCCCTAGCACAAACGCACCCCTCTTTGCACACATACATATATAAATATACCTGTGTATACACAAATATGCATACACTGATGTCCGTAAACAGGAGAAGCAAACAACACACACAGAAGAACTCAAAGAGACACAAGGACAAACAGACATGCGGCCGCTCACACGTGCCAAGGCACAAACACTGACATATAGACACAAAAACATATCGACACACAAACAAAAGCAAACGTGCCCGCACGCACACACACACACACACCTGCAAACAAACATATATATATATATATATTTACACGTATGTATGCACATATTATATATATACATAACCATACTCGCAAGTGCAACCGCACACACGCGCTCACACACACACACAAACACAAACGCAACAGGGCCACACATGCGCAACAAACGCACACACACACACACACGAACCTGCACATCTACACGGTGTGCAGAGCAATCGCCGCGCTTATCGACTGGTCGACTTTCCAAACGTCGCCAAGGTTCCCCACATAGACGTTGCTGTTGGCATTGAAGAAGTCGAGGCATTTGCCGTCATGTCGCGACTTCAGGTGGCCGTCCTGCAGCTCTTACCGTTGGGGGCATGCGACCTTGTTTTGGCGTACTCCCCGCTAAACCTTGCAGCACATGGTGCAAGTGCAAGTCAGAACACCATGCCTTGACTTGGAGCTATTCTCGCTGTCTCTAGAAGTTCAGTGGGGTGTCCTAGGAAACCTAACGACGCAAACCATCTGGAGGGATTCAATTATCTGCAAATTTTAATATAATTCCAAAAGCTGAATTAAGGGATACTCAAATAAAGGACCTTTAGCATGGTGAGCTCGTTATGCCCCCAGGTGAGCTTGCTGTAAAATGCGCAGAACTATGGACACGTATCCGTTTTCAGAGCGCATCACGTTTACATGTTGTCAGGCCCTGCCTCAAAGTACCACAGCTGGTTGTTATTGCCGCTGCAAGTGTGCATGCGAACCTGAGTTGGCACGTCCTGGTCATGATCTGCTCGGACACCAAGAAACTAACACTCGTGTGTCCAATGCACAAATGGACAACCTTGCGCATGTTCACAAGCGCCCTGTGCTTGCGAAACAAGAAGCATTGCCAGTGGCGGTGTTGTAGTCCAGGCAGTCATCATTCACGTCAGTCTTGATGGCTTCCCCCTCGAAGAACCACTTCTGATTCTTGTGCGTTGAGCAGGTGGCTACCTGCCTCAAAGCACAACTCAGCACTCTGCAACCAAAACGGCGAATCCAAAGACTTGCTCGCAACATCAGAATATGCTGAGACATACAACTACTTGCGCCATGTTAACACAAACAAAAAATCATTCCGCACACGCGCACGCTCGCACCCATGGACGCACCCACGCGCACACACACACACACACCAAGACCCACAAGCATACACCCACACACACACACAGGTTCAAGCAGCTTGCTTTGACTAAAATGCCCTCCAAGCGGTATCAGCTGAGGGACACATTTTGGTCATCCGCGTACTTCAGGCACTTGCCATTGTAGGAGAGGATTTTGCGTCCTTCCACCTTAAAAAGTCAGATCGGACTCGGGCTAAGTTCATGCTGGAACCCTGCAGGTCCTGGAGTACCAAATGCAGGATCCCCCATAAAGCTTTGGGCAAGCCTCTATCCCGAGATACCTTCATGGAACGGTTCTAACCTTTTACTCTGCATCTACAAGAAGCGCTGATTTGGTGAGGATCCGAATACCATGGGACAAGTTGCTGGCTGGAATCCATAGGTTGGACACGCCTCCCCAAGTGCTATTTGTGTTCCCAAACTCGTGAGGTACGTGAGGTTAAGGTTTTTTTTGGTGGTGGTGCAAGGGAAACCCAAAGCAAACCAGCCATTGAGGGTTCCCATATTTGGACGCAAGCCCACATCTCTGCTTGGGTTCCTGATTTGCCAAGAACGAGGCTTGGCTACCCAACGTGTGGAAAGAATACGGCTGTGGATAAAAAAACCGATACCCAAAATGGAGCCCTGGTAAGTGGAAACATTGATCAGCCACACCCATATGGTCGGTTGTCTCTCCTTGCTTTTGGACAACGGACGCAAGGCTAAGAAAGAACAAGCATGAGTATAGACAAGGCGACACCAGCACACCCTAAAACAGCCACCCCCACCCCCCCCCAAATCATCAGAAACTTACCTTTCAGCTAGGGCAGTATTAAATCGTGAGGTTGCTGAAAACAGTGGATGTTCTTTCGGTTGGCAGTTGAACTTTCAGGTCCAACTTAATAAGAAACTCCGTGAGTCCATCTACCTCCAAAAGTCTTACCACCTTCAAGTCCTTCATCCTCCAATGTCCGAAACCGGGGGCGAGGGGCGGGAGCGTACTGGCACTTCCCGCAGCCAGCCACCCCGAAGCCGCCCAGCATAAGTTTATGGTCACACTGCTGTAGTAGGTCCTGGCCGGTTTTCAGGTCGGAAAATGGGGCCGACAAGAACGATTCGAATCGAGAAATACATGGTCGACAAGGCTTTACAGCAGCAGCGGGGGCGCTCAGAGCTTTCCTCTTAACTTTCTCAAGCAATTGGGTGTTTCCCCATGTGGCTCAGTTCGCCGCATTGCAAACACTTGCACTTCAAAGCCTGCCGGGCTGCCATGCCCAACTCTACGGCACGTCCATGCTCCACCCGTCAGACCCCTTGAGTCGACTCGACAGATAGGCGGGGATCTAGAATCTTATGCCGGAGCGGTGTCTTAGTGCGCAATGACAGCATCATTGCTTCACCTGGGCCCACCGCTCGGCCCCGCTGCAGGACCAAGTCGAAAGCAATGTGCTGCTGCGACATAAAATGATCCGTGTCTCCCCAAAAACAAGTGCGGCAAAGCCACCCATTCAAAGTCACCACATATTCAAAGTCACTACATACCGCTCCCTCCTTGAAAAACCCCCAACAAATTATATAACCGGTTGGTTACGCAATGGAAATGAGCACGAAGTAGCGTGCAAAGCAGACAATCAAGATACAAAAAAGCACTCAGCGAAGAAATGACAAACCAGCAAGAATCATCCACGCTGACAAAGCGGTGTGAGGGTTTGAATCAGCCTCACGAACCTTCCCTCGACTAGACGGTCAACCTGAGTACATGATCTGCTTCGACTCCACCCCCTGACCGTGTCTCCCAGCCCAAAATTTCCGCGGGCCTAGATGCAGTCCGCCCAGCCCTTTCCAACCCCAGTCCACTCTTGCTCAGTCAGCCGCCTTGCTCCGCGTACCAAGTCACTTCTGCCAGTCAAACCCATGAGTACCAAGAACTTGAGCCCGGTTTGTATTTTCCGCTATCGCCAGCCCAGTCCAGCGCTTGGGCCGTCCGAGCCATGATTGATTACCCAACACGTTGCATCACAGAAGCTGTTTCCACAACCTTTGGTTGTTGTCATTCTTGTTGTCGCCGTGGCTTGTGGGACCGCGAGCTCTCTCTTGAGCGCTTCGCGCTAGGTGGCATAACACTTGGGCTATATCCGCAGTACCCGCAGTCGTGCCCGTCATTTGTGACCAGCGCTCTCAACTTTTCTTTGGCAAGCTGGAGCGGATTCAGTGTCTAGGTGAGAACGCTGCGGCCAAATCTGATTTCATGTCCTTTGTCATCAGATCAAGCGAATCGCGGGTAGCACCTCTGCTCTTTGGCTTCGAATTCTCCCCGCGGAGGTCGTATTGCCTGCATGCCTGGAGTTCTTCGAGGGACTGCCACTACTCTGGCCACGTCATCAGCTTGGTCTTTTAGAAGCCGCTGAGCCGCTGAGCTTCGGCAAGGTTTTGATCGATGGCGCGCTGGAAAACAAAAGAACGATGCTGGGCCAACATGGCTTGCACACCAAGCTGCCTTGCCCCTCAGCGCTTCCTGCGCAACTTCGGCCCTTGGCATCGACGGGTCCAACGCAAACACCTGCTCGTTGCAAGCTTTGTGGGCGCAGCGTCACTGCGTCACTTGCCTCCATGGATCGCCACTTGACCAGCTCCGTTGCTTTCTTTGGACTCAGCGACGCTGCGTGCTGGTCCGAGACAGGCAATGCGAAGCGCTTACAATTTGGGCCCCCCGCCCCCCAGCCGGGTGGATGACGTCCTTTTCTCGGTTGTTTTCTGCTCCCCAGCTAGAAGTTTTATTGTTAGTTAGTGGTTTAATGGAAAACCCACTAGTTGGCAAAAAGTTGAAGTCCTAACATCCAAGCAAAATGCAACCAAGTTTTGCTCTCTTTTGAAACCACCCAATTGGGTTTCTCATTCTGAGACACAGAGTGGGACAAAATTTGTTCGCTCGTGACAGGCGCGTGTTCAACGGGCTCGAGCCACGTCCTCGTAGAGGCAAGGGTACGAATCTGTGCCAGCACCCAGGAAAGAGCGGCGCTTCGTGACGCTCCAGCAGGTTTCAGGGTCTGCAATTCGGCATGCCTTGCGATAAGTCCTTGGCTAATTACCAACATCTGTGCAGTCCTAAAAGTTCTGAATGGTGGGTCTGTCTTTGTTTAAAGGTACCACAAATTTGGTTGTTTCAAAGGGAAACTACAAGGAACACCACCCTCTTTCTTTTTTTGTTGGGAGGGGGCTCCGCCAAACATAGGCACCAGATGTCAGTCATAGGCTGTCGTATTTCAAGCCAGAACCACGGACTGCCACGACATGAGCGCATGCATATCACATGCGTAATCCCAATGAGTGTATTGCCTACAAAGGATGGGAATGGGACTCAAGCTTGACTACCCTCGCATGCGCAAGGACCTCCACTGTGCCTTGCCCCCCAAAAGCTCTAAAAACGAGCAAGTGACCAAAAGAAGAACGGTTCGACCCCCAACTTGGATGAAACAAATGTTGCGTTCTCGATTGCTCCAGCTCTTCCCATCTGGGCTGGCCCTTCGGCCGGCAATTTGGGTATGGCTCAAAATTAAACCAACAAGCGACCGCAGGTTTTAGTCCATGGATTTCATGTTTCCATTTGCCGGGGCAACCCCTTTTGGGTACCTATTTTTGACCCTGAACCCGGACATCCAGTGGCATTCCGTAGAGAATGCCCATGCTGCCCACCTCACGTACCTGGGCAAATCGTGGACAAGTAAAGCCTCAAGCGACAGCTTCTTTCGAACAGCGTTGAGAACAAAGCTTTGATCCAAGGTGAACGCAGACCCCGGACATCAACTCTAGTGGTACCCTCCCAATTCTCTTCAGGAATCCTTCTCTTCAAGAAATGGGCCAAAGAGCTGGAAAATCGGTTTCTAAAGAAAACGATGGGTGAAGTTAATGGGGAATGCAGACCCCAGACATCAACGGCTCCGTTTCATTCAGCAAAGGCGAGCTGTGGGCCACGAACCGCCATGGAGGAAAATCTGCCTTCTTTCCCAATCCACGGCCAGACACAAAGCTTTAAAGGTGCCATCATAGTGGAACTGACCATGAATTTTAAAAAAGGACCCTTTGGTGGACATGATGGTGGGGATTTACGTTCACCAATCAGTTTTGGGGTGGTTCCGCACTAAATTCATGGCCAGCTAGCAGCAGCCAGCGATTGCCGACTGGCCAATGTCTTGGATTGATTGGATGGGGTGTTAAGTTGGCACGACCATTTGCCCTCCGGTCCAATACGGTCCAATAACATGGAACCGGCTAGGGGGTCTGCTTTCAAAGGAACATGGCAGCGGGTTTCTGCGAAGTTTCCGTGTTTGACGGGGCACTGGCATCCAAATGGCAAGCATTGGGATGAGGCATCCTGCCATATCTCAAACCAGCAGACCCGGTCGCATCCGCCCAGGACCCAAGCTGGAAGCAACTCGCGGCGGTTTCGGCCAGGGCGCCAGCTGGGAGCAAGCAGAGTAGAGCCGGCATTGCTTCGTAGACATGACTTCGCCTGGCAACCATCTGGGTGTCTTTGTTACTTGGTTGACGTTGGAAGGGCAGCAAAAAAACAAATTTTAGCAGTTAAGTTGGGATTTCAACCACTAAACCACAATAAGCAAAATGTAAAATGTTTCTCAACAACAACCATGGCTAGGGGAAATGGCACCAAAACGTGGGTGTGTCTTTTTCAGGGTTGGACCCCCAAAATGGCTTCGGTTGTCTTCTCTTGGTTTCCCTTCAAAACCACAAAAATTGGCACCCTCAAAACAAGACAGACCCAGCTGGTTGCAACTTCTAAACGGATGTTCTGGATTCCAAGAGGGACTCACCAAAAAAGATACGCATGTTTAACTCCGGATTCATCTGAAGTTAACATTTCTCTGCCAGTACTCTAGAACCGCATCCTGACCCTGACCACCAGTCTGCTATGCATTTGCACTACACAGATTGCAACTTACACAACAAAACACAACAACGTACATCCACATCCACATTTCCTCATCTAACCAGCCTGCTGTCAAACATCGACTAAACATAAGCTGGACATGTACTGGACATGCGTAAGAAATAGAATAGAAGTAAAACCAACACATGATAGCATGCATGCAGCGCCAAACATATCCTACATTTGTTAGACACATGCAGAGATACACTTGGGATTTTATACGAGCTCTGTATATATATCTATATATGTGTACACACTACATATACATCAGACACTACGAGGTACATACCAGACTTCTAGAAGCATGCTAGCCTACCACACATGTGCCAACCACATACCACATGTGCTCAGCATATGCCGCTCTCATGTTGGGCAGCGGGCCAGATACTGGCGGAATCCTTGCCCCGGCCTTCAGCTTGTGCCTAGAATAGTCGAAAGCATGTATCTAGCATACGCGAAGCATAGGCTTAGCATAGTTTTGGCGTGTCCCTAGCTTAAGCCTGGTATGTGTCTAGCCTGGATGCAGGCCTACGTGCAGTGTCTGAATTGCAATGGCGCCCTCAAAGCCTGAAAGAACACTGAATGATGCACGTGCCAAAACTTGCTGGTGCAATAACTAGGGAATGTGGTTGAATGAACCCAGGAATTGGTCCCCTTAAAGGAAACCACCACTTGGATGTTTTTTTCTTGGGGTCATTCCATAACTCTCCTTCCCTGCATCTCTCCCAGCAAGAAAAGCATGGACATCGCAGACGTGCTAGCCTTGCAGATCCGATTGGTTTCGATCTGTGGGAAGGACCAAGAGCCATGGCTCTCTCTATTCACTAGGCTGGCAAACAACTATCGTTTTTGCCTGGTTAGTGCAAAACAAAGGGACCCATGGGACCCCAAAAAAGCAAAACAAAAAAAACAACAAAATGGGAGCTAATTCTGGGGAAGTTCAAAGCATGTCAAGACCAGTGCTGGATTCAAAGTCGAAGACTGTCCTGAGTATCTTGCCTCTTGAACATGACATCCAGAAGAAGTGTAAAGTGATTCTAGAGCAATACCGGATTCAAGATTCGAAGTCAGAATTCTGGAAATTGGAATCTTGCAACTGAACCAAACCAATTGAAGGCTCAGGAGCTTAAAAGCGCCTAGCAACTTGTGATTCATTGCAAAATTGCCTCAAATTGGTTGCTACGGGGCAAAAATCATTGCATTGTGCAATGATTTTGGGGGTAATCGGGAGGGTTGCGGGGAGGGGGGCTGCGTCGTCAGGACCAATAAGCGAGTACTCCAGGGGGGTGCCATGTATATATATATATATATATATTTCATATACATATACATAGATATGTCAAAAGACGCAGATCTAATCATCTGATCTTGAGCAACCTGGCATATGTGCTCTACAGAAACGAATCTTCGCTGTGGGGACCTGATCGTCCATGCCGTCAGAGTATTCGCAAAGAAAGCAACACCCCTTCAAAGCAATGCACGTTTCAGCACAACTGATCTGATGACAACTAAATACTTCAGCTTGTCTTGCAGCATCTTTTGCCTGAAAGGATAGCTGCTCTCAAACATGCCTTAATTGAGCTGATCCTGACTTGCATCTTCAATCGTGTCGGCTTGCAACGCCTCCAAAAGAAACCCACGTGAAGCCAAGGGGGCGGTTTCCCCCTGTGCCTTCCCAAAAGAAGGTACAGGGAGGCCATGACTGCGCTTTGCACTTGGACTTGCAGTCTGCGCTATCCGCCATCTCGTCTTCGGACATCACGTGAACTGAGAGCATGTTCCTAGGCCAACCGTCATGGTCCGGGCTTGGAAGATCATTTGCAGACCGCTTGCCAGCCTTGCCCTATGTCGCGACCTGAGAGGCTCGCTTTTTACCCCTTTCTTGTGGATCTGAAAGAAAAAGTCTTTGGGCCCATGGCTGGGATTGGGAGATTGGGATGAGCACTCTCACGCGCAAAGGGGACTGTCTGAGTTTCCTCCAACCACCCTGTTCGTGGCTTTTCTATTGGCTTTCCTTCGAAACCAATCCGATTTCGGGGGGTCCGGCAGAGAAAACCTGCCATTTCGTGGCAAAAAAAAACACGCGACAGATCTGCTGCCAAGCGGCTCCTGCTCACACACGAATTCGCCTTCCACCTAAGTCCGGCATCTCAACAAAGCTGGGCTCGTGAGGCTTCCAAGGGCTTTTCAAAAGAAGACCTAGCAGCCAGCAGCTCAAGACAAGGACACGGTCACAATGCGTGTTGAAACGCCAAGATTTGCCTCAAACAGCAGTCAGGAGGTCAATCAAAATGACGATATCTCCTTTTCTGCCACAGATTCCGGGGCCAAAGAAGAATGAAACAACGGTATGGAGGCGGGAGGAAGGAACGTGGATGCAGTCATGAGACGAGTCGGAACATAGCTTCTAGCCTTGATGGTGGCAATCAACAATATATTTGTCACGATGTGGTTTTGCCCCTGCTCCACAAATGCCTGGGATTCTGAAGTTGAACTGGCTCAAGTTGGCGACTCAAACTCATGGAGCGCATGCCCATGCCCAAATGGTGTGCACTTGAGAACACAATTGCTAGCAGCGCCCTGTCAAATGCACAGTCACTCCACATGAGAACAGGCTCGTCAACTCTGGAGACCCCCTACTGGTAAGCGATGACAGGGTCACTGGCGTGTGAGCATCCTCGTGGGCCTCCGGAGCAGTCTATGGCATCTGGCAAATGATCCACCACAGTAAACATTAGGACTCAAAACAAACCGACAAACGGAAACAGATCCACCGAGAGTTCCAATTCCGAGAAGCCTGCCTTCTGTTAGAAGTGATGATGGACCAGCGCTTGTTCACAAACTCCAACAAAAAAAATGAGGCTGCAAGTTGACAGGCTTGGGCCGACCCCACCCCCATTGTTTGACCGTGTTGTTAAACCGCAATCATTTGGCCATGGGTCAAAACCCAAATCGTACAATTAGTGAACATCCCAATCCCCACTAAAATCCCGAGTAAAATGGGTGGTGAACTCACCTACCAACCCAAATGGGATCCCAAACCGGCTTTGACAACCACAGCCATTTAGGAAAAAAACCTAAATTAGACAAAAATGGGTGGTGCACCTACCCCAAAATGGGATCCCATTGGTTTTGGAAAACCGCCCTGCGGCGTCCAATTCTCAGGGGGGCCGGGGCCAGAATTTCTCCTCTCGAGCTGAGGCCGAGGCGATTGGAAAGGGCAGATGCAGAAACTCGTTGCCGCTGCCCGCAGGGATGTCCGCCGCGCTCTCATCTGGCCGTGGCTCAAAAAAAAAGAAAGAGGAACCAACATAGCATCCTGGTAAGCGGAAACATGGACCAAAACCTGCGTAACCCTTCCTGTTCATTTTTGAGCCACACCCATGTGCAAGAATTGACATGGAAGCTCCCAAAAGGAAGGCCTCTGCAAAAGAAACCAAGTCTTCCATTTCGGGGTCCTGGGAGCTTCCATGTTAGTCTGGTGGAGGGTAATCCAACTTTATGGACTTCAAGCGCCTGAACTCAGAGTTAAACTGGCCCGAATGCCCCTCTCGGCGCCGTTATCAGCACTGCGCCTTGAACGTGTGCAACCTGCATGCCATCTCATTGCCACAAAGCCAAGGGAGCACAAAGCACCGATAGACAATTACGGTAAATATAAACAAGCAAGCAGATATAAAGCAAAGGAATGCTCACCAAGGGCGACCCACGAAAGGGCCTACATAATTTCACACATAGCGAGAAACCAACGCAACCAATGTGCACACAAGCACATGAACAAATCTACACATGCAAACAAACGACAAGCACCCACCGCAGCGTTAAGAACAAACAAAAAGCAAGAAAACAAGAAAGCAAGAAAACCAGCAAACATAAAATGATGTAAACTTTCATCTATACAGTATGCGTGGTGTGTATGTGTGTGTGTGGTGTGTGTGTGTGTGGGTGTGGGTGTGGGTGTGGGTGTGGGTGCGCGTGCGCGAGGGTGGGGGGGTCTGTGGGTGTGTGGGTGTGCGGGTGTGTGGGTGTGTGGGTGTGTGGGTGTGTGGGTGTGTGGTGTGTGGGTGTGGGGGTGTGTGGGTGTGTGGGTGTGTGTGGGTGTGTGTGTGTGGGTGTGTGGGTGTGTGGGTGTGTGGGTTTGTGGGTGTGTGGGTGTGTGGGTGTGTGGGTGTGTGGGTGTGTGGGTGGGTGGGTGTGTGTGTGTGGGTGTGTCGGTGTGTGGGTGTGTGGGTGTGTGGGTGTGTGTGTTATGTGGTTGTGTGTCTGTCTGTTTGTTTGTTTGTTTGTTTGCTTGCTTGTTGGTTTGTTTGATTGTTTGCTTGTTTGTTTGTTTGTTTGTTGTTGCTTTTGTGTTTGTGTTTGTGTGTGGGTGTGGGTGTGGGTGTGGGTGTGGGTGTGGGTGTGGGTGTGGGT